ATTTCCGCTAAGCGAGACAGTTGTTAAGTGAGCTTCGCCCCATTTTACGACCATTCTTGCTTCCATTGTTAAGTGAATCACTGCAGTTGTTAAGTCAACAGCATGGTTATTAAGTGAATCTGGCTTCCCCATTGACTTTGTTTTGTCAGAAGGTCTCAAGAGGTGATCACATGACCTTGAGACACTGCAGCTGTCATTTATACATGCCAGTTGCCAAGCGTCTGAATTCTGATCACGTGACAAGGATGCCGCAACGCTTGGAAGTATGGAAAATGGTCATAAGTCTCTTTTTTTCAGTGCTATTTCAACTTTGAACAAATGATGGTAAGTTGAGAACTGCTTGTAGTTATCATATCTGAGGATTGACGATGGGAGCCAAGAATGTTTGGAGATAAAACTCATCAGCATAAATCTCATCCTGATCTAAACAAGCAAACGAAAGTTCCTATTCTGGATCTGCTTTTATCTAGGGATGCCCCAAAGATGTCATGAGTAGAAATACCTAAGAGAATGTCCTCATTGTTGCCTTCCTTGAAGAGCCTTATTCTCAATTTACCTTTTCTATCCCACCATAGGTTTTCCTGATTTGATTCTCTCCCAGGTGAGTTAGAATGAAGGATGAGTTAGGACAGCTTCCATTCATGCCCAGGGCAGAATTGACCACAGCTATACATGCCTTTGGACTGCAAGGCGATCAAACCGGTCAATCCTAGAGATCAATCTTGACTGCTCTTTAGAAGGCCAGATCCTGAAGTTGAAACTCAAGTACTTTGGCCACCTAATGAGAAGGAAGGACTCACTGGAGAAGGGCCTAATGCTGGGAAAAATTGAGGGCAATAGAAGAAGGGGACGACAGAGAATGAGGTGGCTGGATGGAGTCACTGAAGCAGTAGGTATGATCTTAAATGGACTCCAGAAGATGGTAGAGGACAGGAAGGCCTGGAGGAACGTTGTCCATGGGGTCGCGATGGGTCGGACACGACTTCGCAACTAACAACAACAACATACATGCCTTCATTCCATCTAGATTGAATTATTGCAATGAACTCATTTTGGGGATACCTTTGAAGACTTTTTGGAACTATCACCCATCCTGAAATGCAACAGTGAGGAGGCTGGTGGACATCAGCAAATACATTACGCCAGCTTTGCTAAAGGTCTAGGACCCACATCCTGGAACCCTCTTGACATTCCAAAACTTGATGGAATTTCTCTGTCTCAGTAAGGGAGACGAGGGGTCCTTCATGCTCTCTGAGCTTGGTTGTTTTCTTGCAGATGTTTCATTACACAAACTAGGTACTATCATCAGTGCTAGCACGGATCACTAGCCCTGATGATGTTACCTAGTCGGGTAATGAAACATCTGCAAGGAAACAGCCCAGCTCAGAAAGCATCAAGGAACCCTCATTTCAACTCTGAGCTACAAATATTTTCCTTTATTGGCAATAATGGAGAGTTGGGAGAAGACAAAGCATCTTCATAGGGACCATCCCAAAACTAGGAAAGCCTTGAAAAACCAGATTAGCAGTCTCTTCAAGTAAACCTCTATTCCCCCCCCCCCTTGGTTCTCTACACTTTTAAAAAGACCAGGTGGTTGGTGGTGGAAAGCAAAAATGCATTTAACATGACGTGGCCTACCACCCATACATCAATCAATCTTAGCTTCTCATATCCCACACCCACCCTTAAAAACATTCCGTTCCTATTGTCAAGCATGTCACAGAAAGCCTGTTCTATGCTTCATTCAAATTTGCTTCTGCGTGATGTTAGGCCCATCCACTCTGCTTCGCAAGGGACAATTTGTGCAGATGGTCAAAACCCAGCTCACGGTGGTTTGTTCCACAAACAGCATTTCAACAAACGGTGCCTTAGCCCCACGACTAACACTAACACTGAGCTGATTCATAAAGTGCTTATGCAGCTCAACTGGCACCACGGTTTAGCTGTGTGGCGACAGGAAATTTGGGGAAAGTCCCTAAAGTACCATCCAGAAAGCAGCAAGCTTGGGGGAAGTTCCAGAAAGCTAAAAAAAGATGGGATGTATGTGTGTTACCCCAAACCAAGAAAAATGATCCGAAATGACCCAATAATAAATAAGCATCTGCAGTCATAGAATGCTGACTGATTGAGATATTCAGAAAAATGGAAAGCATACAGAATGTGTATCTACATCAGTGGTTCTCAACCTTTTTAATGCCGTGATCCCCAGCCAGTCGTAAGTCGAGGACTACTCAACCGGTCATAAGTCGAGGACTACTCAACTGGTGCAGCACCGTTTGCAGAATGGGACTTTTGGCGGGCTCAGCAGGGCAGAGACAGCCTGGACAATTCCTATTGGCTTTTGAAAGCCAATAGAATTAGACTCTATTCAAGAGAGTCTATTCTATTGGCTTTCAAAAGCCAATAGAATAAAAGGGAATAGCACAGCTAAGGAAAAGGGGGAAAAAATGGCGGATTGCGTTGTTTGGTGACCCCCGTGAAATGGTCGTTCGACCCCAAATGGGGTCCCGACCCACAGGTTGAGAACCACTGATCTACATCAATAATTATGCAGACTTGGCTCAGCCAATTCACTTAAGGCCTACAGAGGAACACACAACCCTGGGGTTGTTTAACACCACGAAGACCCTCCCTCTGTCTTTTGTAACTGCAGTTATTTCGTTTCTTCTTTTAACTGCCTCCAAGCGGATCACAATATTGAGATGGTGTTTATTTATTTATAACACGTATTAGCCGCCCATCTTTTATGGCTGAATTGCATACCATTCAGAGTTGCTCTATAGGTGAGATGGGCAGTCTCCACATTTAATAAACGTAGGTAGCCCTCTGCTTACGACCGCACTGAGCTAAGCAAGACAGCTGTTAAGTGAAGTTTGCTCCATTTTACGGCCTTTCTCTTCCCAATTGCTAACGTGATCACTGCAGTTGTTAAGTTAGTGACACGGTCATTAAGCAAATCTGGCTTCCACATTGACTTTGCTTGTTGGTAGGTCACAAAAGGTGATTGCATGACCCCGGGACACGACGACCGTCATAAATACATGCCCAATGCCAAGTGTGCAAATTTTGATCATGGGGCTATGGGGATGCTGCAACGGTCGTAAGTGTAAAAAACTGTCCTAAGTCCCTTTTTTCAATGCTATCGTAATTTCAAACAATCACTAAATCAGGGATAGGCAACCTTGGCTCTTTTATGGCTCGTGGACTTCAATTCCCAGAATTCCTGAGCCAGCATGGCTCAGCTTGGAAACCTCTCCCTTTCCCCTCAGCGTGGCTGGCTCAGGAATTCTGGGAGTTGAAGTCCACCAGTCATAAAAGAGCCAAGGTTGCCTACCTCTGGCCTATATCAGGTTTCCTCAACCTTGGCTAATTTAAGACTCGTGGACTTCAATTCCCAGAATTCCTGAGCCAGCATGGCTCAGCTTGGAAACCTCTCCCTTTCCCCTCAGCATGGCTGGCTCAGGAATTCTGGGAGTTGAAGTCCATGAGTCATAAAAGAGCCAAGTTTGCCTGCCCCTGGCACTAAATGAATGGTTGTTAAGTCAAGGGCTTCCTGTAAACAAATCTTGAAAGACAGCAGAACTGGAACAGAATCCCAACAGGGACGTTCTCCACCACCAGGAGTTTTCTATTAGTCTTCCTTCTTCGTTCCTGTGGGGATCACACTCCAGTTGGCATCTGTCCCCTACGATCTTGAGTAGCCTCTGAAGAAATTAGCAGTTTTTATTTTCCTGGATCAGACATAAATCAGGGTTGGATGGCTGGCCTCTTCATAAATGTCAAACAGCTGTGGGCACCCAGGCTATATTACATTTGTCAACTAGCAAAAGGAGGCCAGTTTAGGAGCAGCTGCAGTAATATGAGCCAAAGACATTTTTAACAATGAACAACTCACTATTTTTTCCACTAGCAATCTATATGACAACTTGGAGGTCTGTAGGCTTTGCCTGTCCTCTCTTTTGCTGAAATCTTCCTAGCAATTCCGCCCAAACTTTTCTAAGGTATAGCGAATGGACTAACCAGGGTGGACTTTCCTGTGAATACCTCTGAGAGGTTACCAAATACTACAAACAAAGGTCTGTGGAGATGTTCTTCTGCAGAAATAAGTGTGTGTGTGTGTGTGTGTGTTTGTGGAGGGGAAGCCCCACACAAATATCTGGAACCATTCTTTTTCAACTAAAAAAAAACTCAGTTTCCAGAGAAAAGGAAGGAAGGGGGGGGGAGGATACTTGCATGACAGGAGAGAGGATCTCAATCCCCATCTTCCATTCCCTGATTTTTCCCGTTGTCAGTGGCTCAGTTGCTCTCGCTTGACCTGATTTGGAACTGGAAATGGATTGCAAAGCAAGAGGCTATAAATAAACGCCTGAGCCCTTAAAATGTTGCGTCTCACAGACCAAACCAAAAACTGCAAAAGCCAGAAATCCATCTTCATCCTTTTAAAAGAATAAATCCTTTCCCCCCCACCTCCCCCGAATTGCCTATTCAGAAGCAGGATCTGTCCTTGGTAAGGGGGGGGGGGGCGAGCAGCCCTTAAGCGTACAAACGCGCCTACGGAAACGCACAAATATTTCGGTGTCTTGCCCACCATATGGAGTTCAACTCTTGCTTAATCCATCCCAAACCCACAGGTCGTATGCTTTTATTAAACCACAAGAACAATGACCCCAATCCACGAAAGGAAGGGCGGGGGGGGGCGGCGGGGGAGGAAATCAAACGATCGACGGCAATATTTCCCCCCCCCCCTATTTTTATTCTGTCTTTTCGACCCTCGTCTCTACGGATGCTATAGAAGCGTGCAGAACGCAGCAAGGATGCATTTACGAAAGATGCGCCTAAACTAGAGCGCGATTCGCTCTTTTATACTGTTATTATTTGCAAGTGGAAGCTGCCCCCCCCCGCTTTGTGAATGGGGCGGGGGGGGGAGAGGCAGATCGCTTGCCACCCCGCCAGCAGTTGCATCTCTAGCCAGTGTTTCCCCTCGGAAATTCTTACAGTACCTTCATCTTGACAGCAAAATCCACTCCAATTTCTCCAAGCAGGCAAAGAGAGATGGGGGGAGAGCGCTCTCTTTTCTTCTTCTTCTTCTTGACGGATCTCTGCACAGCTGCACAGCTGCACCGCTGCAACTGGCAGAGGCAGCCCTCCTTTCCCTCCCCCCACCCCTCCGCTTCCTCGGCAGCCTTGGGGACCGGAGCAAAGGCAGCCGTTGATGAGACACGTTGCAGCCGCGAGTGAAGCTTCCTCGCCGCGGACAGCAGCGACCCAGCTCGGATTTATTGCATCACCGGCAGGAAACGGCACCTCCTTCGAAGCTCCGCTAGGGGCAGCAAGACGCGGGGCGGGGAAAAAAAAAACAACAACTTTCGGACGCTCTCATTGGTCCGCTGTTGCAAAGCGAATTGAAGGAAGGAGGAACGTTGACAGAAATTTCACGTGGCTGCCAAAACGATCGACCGTCTCCTTCGTTGGCGAGTCGACTCCAGCTGGCGAGGAAGAATAGGCTGTAATTTAACGTGATTCACGAACCTGGCTTTATACACAAATTCTGTCTCTCTCTCTCACACACACACACTCACAGACATATCAAGAATAGAATAGAATAGAATAGAATAGAATAGAATAATAAAAAATAGAATAGAATAGAATGAAAGAATAGAATAGAATAGAATAGAATAGAATAGAATAATGAAAGAATAGAATAGAATAGAATAGGAAAAAGAAACGGATAGGATAGGATAGGATAGGATAAGATAAGAAACAAAGAATAGAATAGAATAGAATAGAATAGAATAAAATAGAGCTGGAAGGGACCTTGGAGGTCTTCTAGTCCAGCCCCTTGCTTAAGCAGGAGAACCTAAACCAGGGGTAGGCAACCTTGGCTCTTTTATGACTCGTAGACTTCAACTCCCAGAATTCCTGAGCCAGCCATGCTGAGGGGAAAGGGAGAGGTTTCCAAGCTGAGCCATGCTGGCTCAAGAATTCTGGGAGTTGAAGTCCACGAGTCATAAAAGAGCCAAGGTTGCCTACCCCTGACCTATACCATCTCAAACAAGTGACTGTCCAGTCTCTTCTTAAAAACCTCCAGTGTTGGAGCATTCACAACTTCTGGAGGCAGGTTGTTCCACTGATTAATTGTTCTAGTAGAAAAGAAAGAGATGATGGTTGAATTGTTGTAGTTATTAAATCAAGGATACCATCAATCTTGTTTCCCTCTCACATTGGATGTTCAGCTGCGGTTTGCCAAGCAGACCATATTTGCTGCATTCACGCAACAGGCTGAGTTACAACCAGACCTGTCATACTTTGCCTTCGGTCAGATGTATAAATTTACTCCAAATATTTCGATTGCCTTATCCTGTTTCCTAAAGATCAGAATCGTTCAGGCAGTGATATTCCCTGCGATGCTGGATGGAAGCACAAGTTGGATTTTTAAGAAGTTGGACGGAAAGAATATCAAAATGATTTTGAAAATTGGTGTTGGAGAAGAGTCCTAAAAAGTACCATGGACAGCTAAGGAAACGGGTGGTTGAACAAAACCCCAAAATTTTCATTCAAGACAAATTATCAGGTTCAAAATGATCGGGGTTTGGATATGTTATGACAGGGGTGTCAAACTCAATTTCATTGAGGGCCGCATCAGCATTGTAGTTGCCCTCGGGGGGCGGCCTACTGGGTGAGTGTGGATGGAGTGGGTGTGGCCTACTGGGTGGGCATGGCCAGCTCTACATCGTTTGTGTCAAGGGTGCCTGTGGGGGCCTGGGCAGGAGTGGGACAGATCTGAGGGTCTCTGGCAGAAGGGGGTGGGACCGGGGCAAGCGCCAAGGCATGGTCCATTTCTTCATTCCTCACAAAGGGTGACACCTCGCCAGCATGCACCCAGGGGGCGGGGCTGACACGGCAGGGGCTGGTTCCTCGCTGTTTCCGGATGGCCTTGTGGAGCTAAGACTGAATGCGTTTCAGCATAGATGGCCACCACAAAATTGTACATTGGCTCCCGGCTGGCCTGGGCCAGGGCCAAGGCAGCGGGGGCCATTCCCTCACTGTTTCCAGGATGGCTTCACGGGCCACATGAAACCACTTCGCGGGCCGCATCCAGCCCCCAGGCCTTATGTTTGACATGTCTGTGTTATGGGAAGACTCAGCTCTCTGGAGAAGGTTGTAAGGGTAGGGAAAGTGGAAGGAAAGAAAGAAAGGAAGACAAGCAGCAGCAAGGTGGATGGATTCAGTTAGAGGGACCATGGGTGCATTTTTGGAAGACCTGAAGGACCAAAATGGGGGTCTATCCTCCTTGGAGTAAAGCTCTCATGAAGAATCAATCCTGACGATGATGCATAATCAATTTTTTTAAAAAAAATCAATTTCCTAAAACGGGTCTTCAAACTTGGCCCTTTTATGACTTGTGGACTTCAACTCCCAGAATTCCTCAGCCAGCGTGCCTAGCTGAGGAATTCTGAGCATTGAAATCCACAAGTCATAAAAGGGCCAAGTTTGAAGACTCTCTCTCCTAAAACTAAGTTGGTGCTCCATCTTCAGGTTACATCAGAGATTCAAGACAAATTCTAGACAAATTAAGGAGTTTTCACCCTCTTAGAGACTGTAGGCTGAGAAATATATCCAAGGTTCATCCATTATGAGGAACTCTGATTTTCCTAACTATAGACTTAATTACTGCTAGTTAAGTCTTTTCAAAACTGAAACATATTTCAGTTCTCTAGGAACCAAATGATCATGTTGTTGTGGTTCAGTCATCAAGTTGTGTCCGACTCTTTTCTGACCACATGGACCCTAGCACTCCAGACCTCTCTGTCCTTCACTGTCTCCCAGAATTTACCCAAAGTCATGTTCATTGTGTCAACTGATCGTATAATGCCTTCTTGACTGATTGATTTTATATAGCTTGCCTTATTTGTTTTGTAAACAATTTTAGGTGGTAAAGATGTCTAATGCTCTTTTTTCCTCCTACTTTACCCACAACAACCCTGTGAGGTGAGTTAGGCTGAGAGAGGGTGACTGGTCCAAGGTCACCAAGAGCTGGTTTTCATGGTTAAGGTGGGATTAGAATTCAGTCTCCTGCTTTCTATCCTAATACCTTAACCCAGGGGTCTTCAAACTCGGCCCTTTTATGACTTGTGAACTTCAACTCCCTGGCTGAGGAATTCTGGGAGTTGAAGTCCACAAGTCATAAAAGGGCCAAGTTTGAAGATCCCTGCCTTAATCATTAAATCAAACTGGCTCTTAGTTCAGAACAGGACTCCCCTGAAACTCCAGTTTCTTGGAGACAAATGCATATCATCCGATTTTTGTGTCCACAAGACTGTTGCAAAATCAACCAACATTTGTGGCCATCTCTAATCTCAGCTACAACAGTGGTGCACGGGTTTTACCCCCTCAAATAAATATAATCCATTATTATTTATAGCTGAACATTATTTCAATTTTAGTCTAAAGTAACTTCTGTTCAGCATTCCCAGTGTGAACTGTCCAGTTGGCGAATCCAGAAAAAGGAACTCCTGGGATGCTGTTTTCCAAGAATATGAAGCTTTACTGAATACACCACACTGGCACCGAAGAAAGCGAAACCAGCTCTGGGTTTCCCATGAAAAAGCAAGCGTAGTTAATCCTTTTTCCCTACAGGCCCTCCACAGTCCAAAATGTCCGCCAATCACGCCTGTTCATTTTGTTATGAGTCTGCAAAGCCAGGACATCTACTCAGGGTGTCCTTGAGATGCCAGCAAGGTCCCACGGTGCTGACGGATGCTTGAATACCATTCCCCCCCCCCCGCATTCCAATCACCCTCCTCCCTATTATTGTCAAGCTGTCAGTGAAGAGGAAATACAGGTGAAACTGCAATCAGTCTTGACTGGTAGTTTGGATTGCTTGAATAAAATTACATTTTGTGCTCTTATTTTCTATTGCTTTAATTTGGTTGTTTTGTTTAATCCAGTAGAAGAAAATATTTGTATTTCAGGTTTGAAGTGTAGAGTCCCTTAGTGCTCTCTGAGCTTGGTTGTATTCTTGGAGATGTTTCATTATCCAAACTAGGTAACATCATCAGTGCTAGACCTAAACATTTGTAAGAAAACAACCAAACTCAGAGAGCACCAAGGACTTCATGCTTTTAATCATTTAGTTGTTGGTTAGATTTATACCCCCATCTTTATCCCAGGAGCTTCATTCATCATTGGCATCCTTCAGTCTCTAAAGACTATGGTATCGTGCTCTGGGAAGAGGTCCTAAAACGGCATCTGGTGGCTAAAAAGGCCAATTCGAGAATGGCAGTCCCTTCCACACTGAGGGTAGACACAATCTGTCCCCTGTCCAGCCCCCGGATTTCGCTGGTTCCGGGGCTGCCTCTTTGCCTCAGCCTGCCGCGCAAGTGTCTCTTCGAATTGGAGAAGGCCATGCTGCGTCTTTAGCCTCCAGGCTGAAAGATCAGAGGTCAAGGATTCTCAGCTGTTAATGTCCATTCCCAAGGCCTTTAGATCCCTCTTGCAGATATATCGCAGCTCAGGTCTCCCTCTGGGGCGCTTTCCCTGCACTAGTTCTCCGTACAGGAGATCTTTCGGAATCCGACCATCAGCCATTTTCACAACATGCCCAAGCCAGCGTAGACGTCGCTGTTTCAATAGTGTATACATGTTAGAAATTCCAGCACATTCCAGGACTGCGCTACTTGGGACATTGTCATGCCAGGAGAGAAAGTTGAACACCTTTCATATGTGTTGTCTCCGACGTATTCTCGGCATCACCCAGGAGTTTAAGGTGGCCTGAAGAGCATTTCCCAATCGTGGTAAAGAATGGTTAGGCCGGGAGGATTTGACTGCCCCCAAATCATCAATAGGTTTCCATGGTTGATTGTGGCCTTCAATTTGCTCCACAAGCCCCAAACCATTCTATCATATTGTATTCAGATGAACTCGACCTACAGGACAAAAACATTTGAAATGAAATCTATGGAAGCCTTTGCAATTCCAGAATCTCTCTTTTTGAATTGTGAGAGGTCGCAGTATTTGAAGTGGAACAAAAATTCCATTTTAGCTAAGTCATCAAGCCAAACCCAGCTTTGCTGCTTCTGTCTTCTTCCATCAGTTTCTTTCGATGGCCGTCCTCAGGTTTTAGCAGAGCGGAAAGGAAGATGCAAATAAGTCTTTACAAGATCAGAAGGCAGAGAGTGAAGGTTACCATGGAAATGTTCAAATAATAAGTCAGCAGTAAATGATGATGCTCGGATCTATTTGCCAACCAGCTCTGCGAGACTACAAAAATACCATCTAGAAATTGAACTGGCTAGACTAGTTTTGGGGTGAGCTTAATTCATAAGATTTCTCACCACAGAGCATTATTTCAGAGGGTGGGGATAAGAATCATTGGCAAGTTATCTTCCAACAGCACAGCAACCGAGGGTAACAAAATATAGATCCTAGATTCAAACCCCAAAATGCCTTCATTTGTTGGTGCAGGAACAGGAACCAGATGTTTTCTTTATGCTTTAAGAAAGTGATCATCATGTTAAACTATTATATGGTTTATTGTTAGGGTTAAAACATCCTGTCTCATCTTGTTTAGTATACTCTGTTGCCGAATACTGCGTACCTGTATGGGAAAGAAATTGTCATACCAACAAGATTGATGTTCACCTTAATGACATAATGAGAATAATATTTGGAACCCTTCAATCCATACCACTCTCACAGCTCCATGTTCCAACATTGCCCCTCCTGATCTCAGGTGACAACGACAGACAGTCTGAGAGTGGTCTAAGATAAACGTGTCCTTGAGTCCCAGAGATCTTCCAATACATAAAATATTAGACTCTCTACCTCTCACCAGGCTTAAGTCTAGGAAACCAATTTGGGATGATAATAATATACCACAGTCTTACGATCTGGATGAAAAACGGCGATTAAGATGGGCGACTTTTAATAAACACAACCAAGCAGATATAACAAAACTACTCCAAGGGGTGCAGTTGCCCCCCCCCCCCAATATATGGAGCCACCTGAAAAAAAATTCAGGACAGACCATGCCAGAACTAAGGCAAAGTTCTTTACGTGGGGAATGGCTGAGAGCCCACAGTGTGACTGTGGTCCACCCAAAAACAAAAACGATAACACATATAGTTCAAGTATGTCTCCCAGGAAATTTCAAGGCATCTGGGACGATCTCACCGCAGCCACAGTACAAGCAGTTATATCAGTGGTTCTCAACCTGTGGGCCGGGACGCCATTTGGGGTCGATCGACCATTTCACAGGGGTCGCCAAGCAAGGCTGTCCACCATTTTTTCCCCTTTTCCGGCGGGTGCCTTACCTCCCTTGGGCTGGGCCAACTGGTGGCCAAGCCAGTGGTCGGCCTGCTCTGTCTCTGCCACTTGCCAGCTATGCCTCGGCCGGCGCAGGGGGCGACACCACGCATGCGTGGCGCTCCCGGGCAGGGAAAGTCCTCGACTTACAACCGGTTTAGTCCTCAACTTACGACTGGTTTAGTCCTCGACTTACGACCGGTTAGGGGTCGCGGCATTAAAAAGGTTGAGAACTACTGAGTTAGATGGTTAGCTTCCTTAAATAGCAATAGCCCTTAGACTTACATACTGCTTCACAGTGCTGTACAGTCCTCTCTAAGCGGTTTACAGAGTCAGTCTATTGCCCCATCAATCTGGGTTCTCATTTTTATCAACCTCAGAACGATGGAAGGCTGAGTCAACCCTGAGCCAGTGAGAATTGAACTGCCAAACTGCTGGCAGCCAGCAGTCACCATAAGTAGCCTTCAATAGCAATAGCACTTAGACTTATATACCCCTTCACAGTGCTTTCCCGCCCTCTCTAAGCGGTTTACAAAGTCAGGATAACTGCGCCACCAGGAAATTGGCTGGCTTTGCATATTGTACTAATCTGATAATTTAATCTTAGTTTACACTATTTCTTAGTTGACACACTGAGCTAAATCATACATCATGGTTCATATATTAAATATCTGGTTGAGATATTGTATGTGTGTGTTTTAATACAACACCTGCAACAACGCTGGTATAATTAAAGATACATCCAAAGGCAGAAAGTCTTGAAATGTGAAGGATTTTAGACAAAATGTTTTGATTTGTGGAACATACTGGTTTACTAGCATTGCATTAACTTGTGACTTTTCATGTATTGGCTTCCATTAGTAAGATAATAACAAGATGCCAAGCCAATATGAAACAAACCACATTTTTACATTTTTAAATCTTTTTTTTTTCTGTGTTATTGTTGTACACTGCCCAGTGTAGCCCCACGACGAGATGGGCAGCAAATAAATTTAACAAATAAATATATTTTGGCATTATGGCAAACCACAGTAACGAATATTTTTCTTCTGAACTCTTTCATCTTTCAGTGAAACTAGGATCTTTTTAGAATTTGAAATTACACTTGACACTTAGCTCTTACTGCATTTCATGCAGTAAACACTTCACTGAGCAAACTGCATCAACTCCAAAGTGGTTTCTTGAAATCTAATCAATTCTCCAAAAGTGCTACAAAACTTGCAGCATAGATTATTAGTGGAGTGGGGGTGAGGGTGGAATGTAAGGAATAAATCAACCACTGAGATTTTTAATTGGAGGGTTATTTATCGCAGATAACCACCTGCCTCCAGAAGCGGTGAATGCTCCAACACTGGAAGTTTTTAAGAAGAGACTGGACAGCCATTTGTCTGAAATGGTATAGGGTTTCCTGTCTGAGCAGGGGGTTGGATTAGATGACCTCCAAGGTCCCTTCCAATATTATTATTATTATAACTCTTGCAGTCATTGCTTACATCTATTGTTCTCTACTTGTCTTTTGCTGCGGGCAATTCAAACAATCACTTCCTTCAGTGAGAAGGAAAGCAACTCAGCCTTCAGAGTCTTCCAAAATTGGTCTAAACAATCCTATAGACATTTAATTCTATCTATACCCCCGTTTCCCATCCTTGTATTTGCTTTGTCCACATTTTCTTTTCTTTTAAAAAAACTGATTCAGAGTTTCGTAAAGAAATCCTCCAGGATTGACTCAGAATGACACAGTGGGTCAGATCCTGTGCTAAGCAGGTTTATAGTTTTAAGAGTAAGAGTGATATAAGCAAACACACAAATTGCTATCTCTCTGGATTTTCAACCTACCTCCCCCTGCACACAACTTTGCCTGTGCAACAATCAAGAGGCGAAAGGAAGGAGGAGACAATTGGGAAAAGAAATGGTTGATGGACCAGACAAGAGACACATCAGCATCCTTCTAATCCCCAGGTTTAAAGCAAAGCTGCCTATCCTGGAATCCTTGAGCTGTAAGTAGCCTCATAAAACTTTGGACGCCTTCCAAAACTGCCACATTTTTAATGGGGAAGAAGAAAATTAAGTCATAAAGCAGTGAATAGTGTAATGAATTGATTTTGGTCCTCTGTGCTCATTTGGGGCAGTTATGAGAACTGGAGATCTGACATCTTTATAAAGGAAGTAATCCCTAACAGGCATTTAAGGACTTTTGAAGGAGATATTTTATAGCTTTTCATGACTCTGCCTGGATTCAGGAGTGAAGGTTGAGTTTTTGACAATGGCGTAAGCCATGGGTTTCCAAACTGGGTAACTTTTAAGACTGGTGGACTTTAATTCCCAGAATTCCCCAGCCAGCCATGCTGATTGAGGAATTCTGGGAGTTGAAGTCCATAAGTCTTAAAGTTACCAAGTTTGGAAACCCCTGGTGTAAGCTAATCTTTGTAGTCTTGGAGATCCAAAGTGCTTAGGAATTAACTGTTTGGTATAATGGTGAGAGGTCTGAATGGTAGATAATTACTTTTCATCAGCAAAATGAATCATATAATTTTATACACCAACTAGATATGAACTCATATTCACTTACACTATCTTGGGATTTTGCCTCCCTCCATTCATGATAAATTCTCTCTGGATCAAGACTTTTAACATCTGGCTGAGGAAAAGAGAACTTTGCAACTCCTTTAACCAACATCACTACCTTCCCCCACAAAGGAACCAGGGACACAAATTTGTATTTTGTTAAGGCGTCAAGTAGATGGGCAGCCAACGTCAATAAAACTGACACTAACAGGCAAACTAAATGCTCCATCCTGCTTGTGTTAATTTGCTGGTCTTAGCAAGCCCTTTCTATGGTTCACACCAATGGACAAAAGATGCTCAGATTCTGATGAACAAGGATTCTAGATTAGGTTGACACGGAATCCTAAAGTCACCCACTTGTGCTACCCCAAAATGTGGTTTGATTTTAAGAAATTCTGTGCATTTTTGTTTTGGCTTTACAATCAATCCTGAATCCTGACACCCACAGGTCAAGTCCATGGAGGTTACTAGGCAATATTTTTGGAAGTGGTTTTTCTTTGTCTCCTCCCTAGGGCTCAGAGAGGGTGACTGGCCCAAGATCACCTATGCCTAAGGCAAAACTAGACCTCCAATTTCCTGGTTCTTGTCCATCAACTTCCTACCTCATTTCCGGATAAAGTGCCCTCCATATCTAAACCTATATAGCTTAGATCAGGGCTTTTCAACCAGTGGTACGGGTACCACCTGTGGTACATTGGCACCTAGAAGGTGGTATGCGACCATCCTAGAAAAGTAGTGGGGGAGGGGAATGAGCTGAGCCGGTGGCAGCACTGCACAAGCCTGAGCGAGAGATGGCTGAAGAAGCACCAATCAGTTGGAATGCAGCACTGATCCTGGCACTTCTGCTGAGCTCAGAAGAAGCACTGATCAGCTGGAATGCTGCAGCATCTCCAGGGTCTTGTGATTTACATTCAGATGCTTGGCAACTGATTCATATTTATGACGGTCAGTGTCCCAGGGTCATGTGAAGGGACCAAAACCTGCTGCAACCACCCAGCAGACGGGGGAAACAAAAACCAAATACCCGCTGCCAATCCTCAACAGAAATGCTCACAACAATGAAAACCTCGGACAGAAGGAAGAGCATGGCCAGGCGGGCAGGCATCTTGCTTAGCTGTGGCTTGGGGGGCACTTTTTTCAGTGCCATTTTAACTTCAAAAAGTCACTAAGCAAACTGTTGTAAGTCGAGGACTACCTGTACTCTATCACGTTTTTGATACCTTGCTAGGCGACTGGTGGTACTCCGATGTTGCCATATCCTAAAAGTGGTACAATGGGTGAAAAGGTTGAAAAGCCCTGGCTTAGATCTCCTTTTACTAGGGGAAAGTATTGCCTTTTAATAGTCAGGTTTTTCGTAATGAGACGATTGGCAATTAGTAGAAAAAGTACCCATTTATTCAAGGTATGACAAGTATATTTACAATATATTCTCCAAACAAGATCCTTATGTGAGTCTTTAAGCAATCAAAAATTACAATTAAATGGGCAGATCTTATCTGTTACAGAAGATATTATTTCTGCAAATGATTACAATATACGAGGCTCGGTCCTAGGTATGTTTTACCCTAGGAAATAAGCCTCAGTGTAGTGCAGCACAATGATTCCCAAGTATACAAACATAAGATAGCCTTAAGGTTAAAGGACCGTTCAAATATCTATCGCAATATCAATTCTGTAAAAACTAGTGTTGTAAAGGCTAAGGGGTAGGGTCTTAGAAATTGCAAGGATTATATTTTGCTCCCTGGTTGCCTAAACGTAAACATAATAGTGCTTTAACTGCACAACACAGCAAACTAGCTTAAATCAAGTCAACTTCTCTGGATCCTTCCTTTAACAGTGAAAGTGAAAACATTTTATACCACCTACAACCTTCCATTGGTTCATAAGCAACTCTACAGGGTTTTCTAGGATAGTCTGGCAAGACAACAAGAGCAGTAGTGGTACTTGATGCTTGCACTCTGCTGACTTAAAAACTGACAGGGCTTCTGCTTTTGTTTAAAAAAAAAAAAGATGTTTTGAATTTTAACATGAATCTCAGAAAAGTGAAAGAATGCCTTCCAAACTGGACAGTGTAAGAAGGAAATTGTCTTCGCGTTATTTTCTAGAGCAGGGTTCCCCAGCCCCCGGGCCGTGGTTCCCGAGGATGCGGGAGAAATGAGAAAGCACGCACGGGCGAAGCTCCACTCGCGTGAGCAGCTAGCAAACGCACGTATGCGCGCGAAGCTCCGCTTGTGCGAGCAGAGGGTGCTTGCACTCACAGCTCCATTCGCACAAGTGGAGGGTGCAAGTAGCTCACTCAAGTGGAGATGTGTGCACATCTGTGCACCTGCAACTCGTGCACACCCACACACCGGGCCACCAAGCTTGAAAGGTTGGGGACCGCTGCTCTAGAGCATAACGATACTACTATGTTTGCTATTTAACCAATGTCTCACCTATATTTAAATAAATTAAAACTTAGCCAGAATGGGTATGATTAATTGAACAGTGACGTCTGACAATGTTTTGATGAGATTATGTCCAGAAATGACTGGAAGCAATGTCTTCTTCTGCTACCTTCACAACATGGAAAAGAATCAGAAACAGGAAAGAAATAGGAACTTTTTTGTTCCTACTGCATTAGGATCTTTCTTACCTGGTAGCGTGTTGGAGAATCAAAAACTCAAAATGGGGCTCACTGTAAAATGTAAGGGAGAGAATTTGGCAGGCTGATCCTTCTGGAAGGACTTCTGAAGTTGCAAAAACATCTGATGAAACCCAGTTTAATAGCTCTAAGAACATGTGAATTGCTCCAAATCTAAAGCATCTCTCCCAGCCCACAAACTACAACTGAAACGGTTTACAAGGTGGAAGTGAGTTAAAAATTCTTTGCTACAGCCAAAATATCAAATGAGAACTAGAGCACACAGAGCAAAGATGTCCAAGGTTTATGTTTTGAGCATGACCTATTCAACTCAACAGGATTCTTTTTAAAATAGCTAAGAGGCAGAGCCTGCAATTTAAAACAAGCTCCCATTTTACTAGTGTTGTAGGGACAATTAGATTAGTTACGTCTATTTTAAGACTGAAAACAACCAACTGCCTAGAGCGGGGTTCCCCAATCCCCAGCCCACTGCCAGGCCTCAAGCCCTTTGGAAGAGGGCCATGGAAGTGGTGGGCAAGCATTCACATGCGCATCCCGAGTTACACGAGCGGTGGGCAAACACGGCTGCAAATGCTCCATTTGCACAAGCGGCAGGTGCACTTGCCCGCCACTTGCGCAAATGAAGCTGTATGTATGCATGTATGTATGTATGCCGGCTGCTCTCATGGGATCATCCCCTCTGCCCCTCCCCCCAAACTGATCCACAAAGCCGAAAAGGTTGCGTAACTCTGGTTTAGAGGGGAAAAAAAAACATTTTTCCTAAGGGATACTTCTCCCAATATGAAATCAAAGAAGTGGAACCGGAGCACGTCACTTGTTCCATCATATAATACTGCAACTCTGGAACAGGATGTTCGAAATGTTTTTGGAAGTGGTCCAACATCAAAGCAGACCCATTTTGAATCAGACTACTCCAGAACACTAGGACCATTTGTTTCAAAATTGGAGTGTTCTATTTTGGCGTCAGAATGATCCACAATGGAATATTTTTTTGCTAACTCCTCTACAATGGGGAAGCTCATGGAGAAATGTCTCCTGAAGCGTCAACTCAAAAACGATTTTCACAGCTTTACAAAATTGATTTGTCTCATCAAAAAGTCCTTTTAAAGAAGAACACAGTGCATTTTCAAAGAACAAAATAGTTCCCCTCCTTGTGTATTAGTAATTAGCGTTTATTCACTCGTAGGTGATGGCATTTGTCTGGCTGTTTGAACCATTCAGATCGAAACAAACCGACAGCTTTACATTAACCTGCTGCTTCAACAAAAGTAACATCAGGATAAATTTATGACTGAGGACCACAGCAAGAACTGGCAGAAAAGGAACAATGTGATTGTCCTACTGTGTAAGTCATTCACATTTTCTCTTTTGCCAGTTCAGTAGAACAGGGGTTCCCAACCCCTGGGCTGTGCCTTATTTGCAACCAGGCCATGGGAGCAGCGGGCGGACGCACACACCCATGTGTGCAGCTCAACTGATGTGATCAGCAGGCCAATGTGCAAAGGCATGTACAGGCAGCTCAACTTGCAGTCAAGCCACATGTGTATGCACATGGGACCAACGTGTCACTTGTGTGAGTAGAGCTGAATGCGTGCCGGCCCACCACTCACATGGCCTGGTTCCCCTCGAACCCAGCTGGGCCGCCATGCTGCAAAGGTTGGGGACCACTGCAGTGAATCTCCATAAAGGTTCTGAATCTTGCCATTTGTAGCAATAGGAACCGTTTCTAATAATCAAAGTATAACAAATTAATGTGCCACTTGATCAAGGCTACCAATATGATTTCCCAGCAACTTGATTTATTTGATGGTTAGAAAAAGTTATTTACACAATAAGTTGTAACTATGCTCCTTCAGATTAGGAGTAGTGCTCGGTGCTTCAAATCTAGCTCCTGGGCCTCAGATATTACCAGTAAACAAATCATGATGCTTCATGTTTTAGAACTTTGTTGGCTAGAAATAACCAAATTAGAAACAAGATTCGGGATTGAAATGCTCTTGCACAAATTGGCGAGTTAGACAATTCCCGTGTCATAAACTGTGTGAACATCACGAAGCAAAGCAACTCACTTCAGGCGCTACATATTATGTGCACACAGTTTAGTCAATGAGAAAAGGTTACTTCTTGCTTCCACCACTTACCAGACATTGGGATAAAGAGAAATAACAGAAAGGAGTGTAAAATTAGTTTTCCCGTTTCCTGCCGAATCGAACAGGAATGTTTTAAGACAGCTTTGTACAGTTCCGTACAAAAAAAATGTAGGTTTTTTTTTGCATATTCCAAAGGTAAAGATATAGGTAATGAAAATTTACATTTGGCTTGAAACATTTTTTTCCTACAAAGATTTATTTCAGCGTCTATTTACAGAGAGATTTATACAGCTGAACCATGTGATGAAGTCTTCTGCTACTGTTAAAAATGAGAATCCATTTTACACGCCGTGTGAATCGAGCGTTAACGATGCCGTCTTGCTTTCAAAAGGACAAACAGTCGGGAGAAGAAGATCTTCCAAAAAGGGGCAGGAAGTAGGAAATTTGGCAGGCAGGAAGAGAGAAGGGTCACACCTTATCAACTGACCCATGATCACTCCATTACAACTTCAGACATAAGGAGGTAAAAATGACAGGCACTGTTAGTTCCATGGGGAGTTTGCTGCATTTAGCTTGTACTCCAAAAACAGGAAGAAGTCTTGAAAAGTTTTAACATTCCACGACTTTTTCGCCAGTTGAGTTTCACAGCATTCCTGGTATGTCAATGCCAAGTCTTAGGTTGCAAATTTGCTTCTGGTGTTTTGTTTTGTTTTTTAATATTAAATAGGTTTACTGTATACTATGGTATAAATTGGAAACTTACTTCAAAGACCATTTCAAACGTTGCCTTTGTATACAACAAAATCGTCGTGCTGGACTGATTTGATCTTCATGAAGGTTTTATAAATAATATAAATTTAGGACCAGTTCTTCAGGACCTTTGTCAATCATTATACCATGTTGTTGCTTTCTCCAGCTTTATCTACAAGCTGTGGGCAAAGGAGACAGAAGAGAAGATGGAATTGAGGTAGGGAAAAGGAATTGTAATTTAATACATTCATTAAGAATGGAACACATTGGTGCTACTTCAACACTTGCATTTTAAGTGAGTGACTGGGTGTAGTATAATCTTATTCAAACAATACTAACCAAGGCCTTACGTAATTTACACAAAGTAAGACCGTTTGCGTTACAACCGCATTTAGGCATGGTATGTTTTTATGTTAACACAGAGCAACATGAAATGCAACAGAATGAAAAAAAAAATTAAATAAATCAGAAATAATGCAAGTATAAAAACTGTTAGCTCAATAACCCAAAGGGGGGGAGAAAAGAATATTGTTTTGAAAAATAATCAGCCATTCATGCATTAATAGACTGAAGATGATATTTTCAACTAACCATTACTGGGAATTGTCTCCTGAACCTACGCAGGCTTTGAAGAAAACATCAACAATTAACTTTTCCAAACGGATTTAACTCCATAAAGTCCAGTTTATAAATGATATTGATATAGAAAAGCAGTAAGCAAGATGTCAAGCCAAATTATGAACAGACTTATTTAAAGTAGATTTAATGTAAGAAAAAAACCCAACTATATTAACTAAGTTTTTTTTTAATCCATTAAACGCATTGATGCCTTGGAAACTAAAGGCATGATGTGGGGCTCAGTGATTCCTATAGCAATAAACCAAGATGTGCCAATCTTTGGCATGGCACACTGTCAGGTCGAGAAAAAGGAAGCATGCTTCTTCTAGCCTAAATGTAATTGCAGCCACATTCTAAAAATATGATATAATCCTACATACGTATGTATATATATACCCTATTTAGAATTCTCTATTTATAAAGCACCTGAACTGCCTTGAACAAATGCCAGCCACCACATGCTTAATAGTAGACATGTTCAGAAATGCAAAATTAGAGAGGGAGGGAGGGAGGGAGGGAGAGAGAGAGAGAAAGAGAGAGAGAGAGAGGGAGAATAATCACAGCTGCAAAGAAATGTGTCAACATCCACAAGGATGGTGCTATGTTATTTTATGAGCATTGACCCTTGTAAAGATGGACGTGGGCAACAGGCAGTCTTAGATATGCCTGGTGAGGCCTGCCATATGCCTGTATTTCTCTTCTGGAAACTCCCCTTGCAATTGGATTTCACCTCTGCAATATACTACAATGTCAACTTGCTATTATTTGACAAGCTGTCTGGAGCATATTTTAGTTGGGAAGATTGCCCATCCTCATTCTGTATCTCCAGAAACCATTATACCCAAGTCAGGGGGATGAGATGCTAGCAAAAGCAACAGGTGAGTTGAGTTGATAGTTGAGCTGCCTCCTTTTAATGAGCTTTGAACAATAAATCTGTTATATTTGCTTGGTTTAATTTACTGCTCCCAACAGTCTTGGTGCACAAAATAGGAAAAAGGATGCTCAAAATAAAATGGCATGTGGATAAGTTCTTGATGCCTTTCCTGTTACTCGGATGTTTTCTCAGCTGCCTCAAACTTTTCTAGAGTGAAACCTTTTCTGCCTTCACACATGCATGCATGGCAATCTGAAGATTGTTCTCAAGCATTTTCTAAATGCTCCCCATTATTTGGGGCGGGGGGGGGGGTGGATAATGCACCTAACAAGACACCACAAGCCCATTTCAAGGAAAATGGACATTTAGCAGTTGTAAAAGAAAAAATTCTCTCTCGCTGTCTCCTAACTGTCCTTCTCCTTCATATAGGCCCCAATGGATTTAGTGAATGTTAGGCTGTCGCTTCAAACTGGAATTGGAAAATCATTACTGTTTGGTCCTCACTTAGTGACCAGTTGCAAAGACGGCAGTAATATGTGGTGGCCAAAAATTCAATTTCTGACCAACGCCCTCCAAAATCTGGTGCACTCAACAACCAAAGCCTTCAGTATGAAACGGATTAAGGTCTGATCAGTTTCAAGCTGCAGTGCAAACCAGAAGGAGGATTCTAATCAATTAATTGAGGTCACAGAGCTGAGTCTGACATTTTGAGGGAAGGTTATGGAGAAAAGCAACTCTAGAAGAGACGATTTAAGCAATCTCTCCATTTTGCAAGGAGGCACACAAGACATTGTATGAGAGAACTTTATCCGAATGATACAGCAGCAACCCACCCCCCTCTCTCTGTCACATGTTCACTTAGGGACCATTTTGTTCAACAAACAAGTCACTGAAACAGAATGCAGTCACTAAATGAGGAGAGGGCGTAGTACGTATTTGTTAAGTTTGGGAAAAATATGATTTTTTAAATATTAAGTTTCATAAATGGTAGATAAGAGTTCTTTGAAAAAGTATTTGCCCCTTTTAGATTTTTATTTGTGTTATTTGTTCATTCAGACTTCCTTTATATGTCAGGAAGACTTACATGAATCACTGACAACAATCAATGGGGAAAAAAAATGTAAAAATCCAGAAATTTTTAGAGGAGGTAAATAATTTTTCACAAACTTGTGATTTATACTGACAGTGACTTGAGTAAATCTGATGGGGGCTTTATGTGTGACATGACAATTTATGCATATCAACAAGGGATTCATGAAACTAAAGGACCAGTCCATTTCTTTGGCAAGCCAGCTTTTAACCTTAAACCCAATTTGCTGGATAAGCTGCAAGATAACTAAAAAAAACCCCTGTGAATGATTGTATGAAAACTCTCCTAATTCAAATTCAAATACTAGAGAAAGAAATCCAGGGTAAAATGATATCTCTTTTGACCTGAAACATGGGGAGATGATGTCCAAAAAAATCTGGAGAATAAATATAAGGATAGGGAAGACTGGCCTAGACTGACATAGAGTTAATTTTGAATCTTGTTATCCTTGTTACCTGAAGGCAAATATAAGCTTTTGGTGATCCAAATTTTGAATGGATATCTCTGTACAGGCTGGTCCAGGTTCTTTAAATGGAATCCAAGAAACAGAAGGAAAACAGAACATGCTGTGTATTGTGTGAAATTATTTAATACTTACTGAGCTTATACCAGGTAAATTCAACAGATACCCCAGAACTGGCACTCTTCTAATAAAACCGATCACCACAGGGAAAAAGCCCCTTTGAAAAAAATACATCACAGATTAGAAGGATTTTCCAAATAAGCACCCTTTACACATTTCTAGGATTCAAGAAAACAATTCCTTATTTTTTATATGAAGACATATATAATTCGTCATATCACATACATTCTCCTCTTTCAGAATGAAGACTGTACCCATCTCCAAGACTTTACATATTCCAGGTAGTTAGTGATACAGTGACCATTCAAATTTGCAATGGCAATAGAGATGTCCAGTTGTGGACATCACAGCGTCTCTGTGATCACATGACCGCAATCTGGTTGCTTGGCAACCGGTACACACTTACAATGGTCCTCCTGTGGTCATGTGATCACCATTTGCGACTTTCACAGCTGGCTTCCAAGAAGCGAAGTCAATAGGGAAGCTAGCAGGAAGTCACAAGTTATGGTCATGTGACATCATCCTATGACGAGTCACTCATTGATTGCAACAGGAACTGATGTCATAAGTTGGTGCCATCACATGATGTCACGGTGTGATGGCACCAAAAGTTGCTGGCTCTTGACTGTGGTCAGAAAGTGAGGACTACCTGTATAGACTTACATGCTTCCTCACTAGTTTTCTTGCTTTGCACAGGGTGATAGAAACATTTAAACAATATGGACAGGACCACTTACATGAGCTGCAACTATCTGCTAAGAAGCCACTATTGACTACAGCTTTGGGGAGGAGACTTCTTAAATAATGTATTGTGTGAACACTGTTATTCTGAAAATCCACACACATTTTTTATAGATACAAATTTAAGGACATGTGAAATGGGCTGGTTAAGTACTAAGAGATGCAAGAGACCTTGCTAAACCTAACAGGCTATAATGCTTGGTCCCAAAAATCGGAAGGCAGCACACACTGCCTGTAATTTGAGCTCCACTGACATTTTCCTTGACATCACAGTGTCGCACATTTAAGAGGATCCCAGATGGCAGGTAAATCTACTTCTATTAGTACTGCTGTAAGTACCTAAATGCTAAGGATGTGCTGTGCTTCATATCCAAAAGTGAAAATCTTACCCACAATCTGTATTAGCGTGTTGATACTTCCTTAATTCAAATGTGTATTCTCTTGGATTCACACAACTACCACAAGCCACACTTATTCCAAAATGCTTTTCATTTTATCTTTCAATTTATCATTAAAGTCAAAGAAACCAGAGGTGAAATATGGAGGCAGGAAAAAACAGAAAGGAATAAGCAATTCTATACTGATGATTTGCCTGTCTGTTTTCAAACTTGAAACCTGGGGATTGGATGATGATTGGATTGATGCCATGTTCTTCAGTAGAGACATCATCTCACAAATAATCTGGCAACTTCTAACCTGGGGTCATCTAAAATAGCTCTCAAATTATACAAGGCACAGACTTGTTGGTTCATAATCTGTGGGAAATGCGATATTCGGATATTGAATGAATACAATCTGAATTCAGCCCTAAGCATCGTTTTGTTTACAAGAAAGCTACCATATATTTTAAGAGGTGGTGGAATTAAAATTCAGTGGAAGAGACTGACGTATTTACATTTGACTTTCTGGTGCAAACCTCACTTTCTTGGTTTTCACTAAAATCAATCATCAGCCCAGAGGATAGTCTACATCAGGGGTTCTCAACCTTGGCAACTTTAAGACTTGTGGACTTCAACTCCCAGAATTCCTCAGCCAGCAAAGCTGGCTGAGGAATTCTGGGAGTTGAAGTCCACAAGTCTTAAAGTTGCCAAGGATGAGAACCCCTGGTCTACATTAAGCAAGCTCCTCACATTAAGTGTTTACTAATCATTTCAAGCTCTGCTAAGGAAGGATTTGATCATGGCATGGGAACTTTTAGCCCCAAGTAAGACAAGCAAAAAGATCTGCAAAAGAAAACACACAAACCTGCAGCGTGTCACTGATTATTAAATAATCAGAAGTATTATTCACACTGGTTTGAAGATTTATAGCTTCCAAGCTATTTGTCAAAATAACAACTAAATAGTTTTCTGTAGAACCTGGTTATCTATCTCTGGTAGTTTCTGCCTGTCTGGTTTGACAGAGTCAGCATGCTCTAAATCCCATTGAGCCCTTGGTGGGACCCCGGAAGTAATCCTTCTGTTTTCATAGTACCTGTCCTTAGAATCCACCTGAGATTCTTAGGCCTGCCCCACTTCTGGCCCTGTTTAAATGTGGCTCCATTCCACTCCTGGATTACAGTGGGTAATAAGCCCCTTATGGGATGCTTTGTTTCATTAAATGTTGATTATCTCCAGGCCCTTTTTTGGACAACATATTATGTATTTTTATTGTGTTTATTCTTGCATTTTGAAAGCTGCCCGGTTATATAGATGGAGGCAGCCTATAAGTCCAATAAATGAATAATTACTTCTATGCACATTTTCTTTTTGGGAGTAAACTGAATTAACCTGGGATTGTGCGTCAGAATTCGTAACCAGCAGTTTAGAGAACTACTACTTTTTTTCTTCCTCATATCGCCAACAGTGCAATGGGAGAGAAACAACCTGTTCTTATCATAAAATGCAATTCTGTGCTAGAATTGATTGCTAGTAAAAAGCTTGCTCTCTTCCACATTTCTATCTATTTTTGCTTTCCTTTGCCTTAGACGTTTCACCATCACTAGTAGCTAAGTATTTTTTAAAATGAGATTTCAAGCACTATGCTTCACATATCTGAAATCGTGTAATGTCTATAAACTCCTCAGGCAGAATCTGGTAATTTTTCAATGGCACCAACCAAAAGGGTACTGGAACCAAAATGAAATGGTCACCCTGTGAGAGAGATGGGCGGTTAACAAATTTGATACACAAATAAATAAATATACAAATCGGTAAGAAGAACTTACCTGAATAAGAGGAAGAAGCCGTAAATTTCAAAGACCATTCCTATCAGAGGCCAGCCAATAAGAACGATAAATACACCACCCAAGAAGAAACCGGTGGCCTTCACTTTGTGTTTCTGGAAAAAGAATCTGAAAGTTCTTTCTAAACCAATCACGAAAGCCAGCCCAGCCACAAATAAAACCTGCAAAAATGAAAACAAACGTATTTGAATATAGGTTCCCACCTAAAAAATATTGATAGAGAAAATGTTCAGATTCAATATAAATGTTCGCAAAACATCTATACCAGGGGTAGGCAACCTTGGCTCTTTTATGACTCGTGGACTTCAACTCCCAGAATTCCTGAGCCAGCCATGCTGAGGAGAAAGGGAGAGGTTTCTATGCTTAGCCATGCTGGCTCAGGAATTCTGGGAGTTGAAGTCCACGAGTCATGAGGGGGCCATAGTTCCCCCATGCCGGCTCAGGAATTCTGGGAGTTGAAGTCCATGAGTCATAAAAGAGCCAAGGTTGCCTACCCCTGATCTATACCAACTTGCTACTGAAGGAAACAGGAATGTCTTAAAGGTATCTTCTACAATGTTGGCACAACCCAAAACATCAGTTTGTGAAGGAAGATAAATAATTTACAGTATAAACACTTAGCGGTACTACTAACGTGATATATTAGAGAGGAACATTTACGAGAGCAATTCGGAAATAAACATCCCTTTGGTTATCAATGACAAACACTTGCAGATATAGAACTTTTATTATGCACATTAGAAAACTACAACATTACATTACTTTTTGACATAATCGCCATTCAGATTGAGGCACTTGTCGTAGCGTCTTACAAGGTTTGAAATTCCTTAGTAGTAGTCGCTCGGCGCCAAATCTGAACTATGGGGGTGTGTGATCAAAAACATACCAATGGAACTGCTTCAAAAGTTCTTGGGTGCATCTAGCGGTGTGCGGGTAAGCATTACCGTGAACCAACACTACACTGGAAGTCAGCATGCCTCGACGCTTGTTATGGATGGCTCGTCGGGAGTTTTTGTAACATTTCACACTAGACTTCTGAACTGATGGTCAAACCATACTCCATGAGCTTCACTAGCAGTACTCCTTTGACATCTTCACATTTGGCGGGATTTTCTATGGCACCACTTCCAACACTTGTGGTGTTGGTTCACGATAATGCTTACCCACACACCGCTAGACGGGCTGAAGAACTTTTGAAGCAGTTCCGTTGGGATGTTTTTGATCACTGCACCCCCCAATAGCCCAGATTTTCTGCCAAGCGACTATTAAGGAATTTCAAACCTTGTAAGACGCTATGACAAGTGCCTCAATCAGAATGGCGATTATGTCGAAAAGTCATGTAATGTTGTAGTTTTCTAATGTGCATAATAAAAGTTCTGTACCTGTGAGTGTCTGTCATTGATAACCAGACAGAGGTTTATTTCCGAATTGCCCTCGTATTTTTATCCCGCCTTTATTATAATTCTAAATAACTCAAGGCAATGAACATACCTAATACTCCTTCCTTCTCCTATTTTCTCTGTAACAACCGCCCTGTGAGGTGGTTTGGGCTGAGAGAGAGGGGCTGGACCAAAGTCACCCAGCTGATTTTCATGCCTAAATTGCTAAGGATTAAATATGGTAATAAATAGGCATGTTACCATTCTAAAAATAGAATCTTTCATCCCCAGAATAATTATTATACACAACTAGTAATAAAATGTATCAATTAAGTAATGAATATCTCACTGGATGACATTTCTCACAATGTTGTATTTTAATGTTCAGTTTTGTCTCCTCCCTTGAACAGGTCTAGATTAAAACAACACACTGAACACTAAACATATATTGGCAAAACACAATTCCTATTCAACTAACAGATTGTAGCCAAACAAGTACAGCTAGTCCTTGACTTACAATCATTTGTTTATTGACCATTCCAAGTTACAACAGCACTGAAAAAAATGACTTATGACCATTTTTCACACTTATGACAGTTGCAACATCCCCATGTCATATTAATCAAAATTCAGACATTTGGCAATTGGCACATATTTATGATGGCTGCAGTGTCCCAGGGTTATCTGATCACCTTTTGCAACCTTCTGACAAGCAAAGTCAATGGGGAAGCCAGACCCTAACTTAACAACTTCAATGATTCACTTAACAACTGTGGCAAGAAAGATTGTAAAATGGAGCAAAATTCACTTAACAATTGTCCTGGGCTCAACTGTGGTCCTAAGTCAAGGATTATCTGTAAACCATATTAAAACTTAATATAATGGTCTGGTAACCTATTTAAAAAAAGAATTGATGCCTTTGAACTGTGGTGCTGGCCAGAGTAACTAACAGAGAGGTGTTAAATTGTATAAAACCAGATACATCACTAGAAGCTAAAATCATAAAGACTACATCTGATTTACTTTGTCCGTGCAAATGCGTGCAAATTCGTTGAAGACAATGATGCTAGATATGGTTAGTGCACAGGTCGGCAACCTGCGGCTCCGGAGCTACATGCAGCACTTTCAGCCTTCCCTGTGGCTCCCAGCCTTCTCTGACATTTGCAGAGAAAGAGAGATAGAGACAGAGAGAGGCACTTGCGCTTCCCTTCTCTCTCTCTCTCTCTCTCTCTCTCTCTCTCTCTCTCTCTCTCTCTCTCTCTCTCTCTCTCTCTGTGTGTGTGTAAAAGAGAGTAGACTCACGGTATGCTCCGAGGAGCTGAAAAGCTTTTTGGGTGAGGCTCCTCCCTTTGCTGCGTCTCTGCAGGAAGCAGGAAGGGCAGGAGAGAGTTAGCTAGGCCAGCTATGCTGACTCAGGAATTCTGGGAGTTGAAGTCCATGAGTCATAAAAGAGCCGAGGTTGCCTACCCCTCAGCTTCTTGGAGAACAGCTTGAAGCCAGCTTGCCAGGTGAGCAGAAGATTGGAGGGAGAGAGGGGGAAGAGAAAGAGAGAGAGAGAGAGAGAGAGACCCTTTTGACATCTAAAATGAAGATAACACTGCATATATCCTTTTTTACCTTTATGAGTAAAAAACATGCTCCTAGATTGGAGCTAAATGCAGAACAGACTGATTTATAGTTGGTAGATCGGGTGCCTCACCCAACAGATAAGATATATATATATATACACACACCTATAATAAAGGTAAAAAAGGATACATGCAGTGTTATCTTCATTTTAGATATCAAAAGGGTTTTGTGGCTCCCAGTGTTTTGTTTTTGGTGGGAAACGGGTCCAAGTGGCTCTTTGAGTGTTTCTTGTTTTAGTGGAACAAGAAGGGCCAAGCAAAGAACACACTGGCTTGATAATATCAAATCTGCTACAAAGTTGAATATCAAACAATTGAAAGAAGCTGTGCTTGGCAGGGTAGCAATTGCCTATAAAGTTGCCAAGAGTCAGACACAATTAAATGGTTAAAACAACAACAATGGTCTGACTCCTCTATGTCCCAGTTTCTACAACTTCCTGAACCACTAGCTACCCAATCTCATTTCTGTCTAGATCATTGTGGGAATTTGGCCAGAGGGGAATCACATGAATTGTTTGTGATAAACATAGACACTTTCAGAATCCTATTATTCTGTGTAAATGTTATTCATTCAAAACTACTTACATTTCCAATAGCTAAAAGTGCTTTGTCGAAAAATAGGATCATTCCAAAGAAAAGAAAAAATACTCCAAAACCTGTAAGACCCATCCCAATTTCTGTAAGACAAAAAAGGAGTATTAATTACTCAGAGCATTAGCAAGAAAATATAAAGTTAAAATAACCACAAAACCTTACACACGGTTACAACATTTGCCAAGGTCATTTTTAAACTGGTTCCAATTAAAAAAAAAAACTTGACACTTGCCTGCTTTTGAAAGAGAAACATGTTATTTTGAAGGGGCTTATACTATAAGAACATTTTTGGCTTTGATAACTGCCCCTTTAGTTCAGCATTTTGTCTCTAGTAATAGCCAGTTTTTGATACAGTGTTGAACTATAGATTCAGCTGTCACATTTTCAGTCACAACTGTCCTTCTCTCTTTTTGAGGGGGAAGTGTGTCTCCCACAATAGGCTTTCCTGTAAGGTTTCTAAAACATTTGCTAATTGTCTAAAGTAAACAAACTCCCAACAGTTTGTGGTGCTGAGATCCAGAATTCTCATTCAAAGCAGAATTCATGAGGAAGTATTACATTTGATTAACACGTTCTCCCTCAAGTTACTTATTGCATTTATAAAAAATTCTGTTCCTGCCAATTCATTTCTCCATTGATCTTAGCAGAAGTCTTCTTTGCCCATGCACAGACAATTGGAGATATATCGCTGAGTTCTAGTATTAGCTGTCACTGTTCAAAGCAGCCACATAAGCCCTACAAAGACACGAGTGCCTTAAAGAGATGAACTTTGTTTTGCACTAATGCATCTTTGAAAGTATTTCTTTCAAATACTTTGCAAAAGTCCAACATAATAGGATAATGTCCACACTGTACATGATGAAGTCTCATAATTTTGAGACTTTTTTTTTTTAAAAAAATCTACTTACACCCACAGGTGCTTTTTCAAAAGGCAACTGAACTTTGTTTTTCCTTGAAGACGTTTCGTTTCTCATCCAAGGAACTTCTTCAGTTCTGACTGAAGAACTGAAGAAGCTTCTTGGATGAGAAGCGAAACGTCTTCAAGGAAAAAGAAAGTCCAGTTGCCTTTTGAAAAAGCACCTCTGGGACAACCATGATCTGGATGACTGAGAATCTCCATAGACATGAACCTACTTTTATTTCTTCCACAAACAGTATTTTTTTTTAAAAGGATAGACCCATGATTAACTAAACGCATAAAACAGAGATGTTTTTTACCAAATAAACTGAAGCATCAGTTTTATTCTAATATTAAATCTCTGCTTTAAAAAAATGGTAGTTTGATTTCAACACAGATCTGGTTCACCTATTGCAGCATTGCAATTCATTATCTAAACACCTTACAATTAAAATGACCATGACATATTACTACTTTATTGATTTATTAATAGTACAAAGTAAGATAAACTTTGTATTCCTTCTTGAAACATTTATAAATTTGTACCTTGGAGAAGTAGTAAACAATACCCCAATGAAGGAACTACCAGCTCAGACAAACATGCTAACAGTAGATAACAACATAATCAAGGAACCACCAAAAACACTCTCACGAACAAGGCAAACCAGTAGTACATAAACAGAGAGAAAACCTCACTCTCTTCTAATACTGATCATGTTATGTAGTTGGATAATGAGACATCTGCAAGAAAACAGCCAAGCTCAGAAAGCACCAAGGACCCCACAATATTTATAAATTATTTTAATTTTCCAGACAGCAGTCTTAAGCAGGGTACACTGTTATAATGAAGGTGTATCAATTTTATTTTTAAGAGTTAATAATGATGTCCAGGAACTGCTTGATAGGCAAGTACACACAGGCAAATGAGAGAACAAACAGCTGGAAGAGGAACAAAGTAATCTATCTTTCTTTTGCAACTAATATAGAAACTGAACAGGCTGCTAAGGAAGGGGAGCTTTATTTTAGTATTTAGTAAAGAAGTGCAGCCAGATTCATTTTCTCTCCTTTGTCAACTTCAAACTTGATTTTGAAGTTCAGGAATTGTTAATTCTTCAAGAATATACAAATTATTGTTTCAGTAAAATTCATTTAAGCTACGCATATCTAGGGACACTTTTGGACAACATAAAATCCTCCAAGTTAGCTATTTTGCTTAGCGGACTTCAACCAAACCAAAACTGGACTGTTTCATAACAACGGAATATTTCTGCAAATCAAGAGAGAAATAAAAGATATTTATACTTTATGTCGTGACTTAGATCAAGCTGCAGTTTTTGACAAAAAGATTCATACTGAGGATATAAAGAGGTATCAAATTTTTGACATTAACCTATTAGTAAAAGAGTGAACAACAAAGTTGCTTCAGTGCTTAAAATTAACTGCTCCATGGGGACAGTACAGGAGAATGGAGCTGCAAAGGAAGACTACTAGAGGGCAAAACATTGCAACATAGATAATGATGTCTCAAACATAGATTAAAAAAACAGCTTAAAGGTTCCTCAGCACATAATACATTTCTGCGTAACTTTTAAAAAGTTTGCTTTAAAAGTTGTAATACATTTGGCACTAAATTGATTCTCCCAATTATGAATTAACTTCTTTAAGTATGTTCCATGCCATTGCATAATGTTCATTTACATTACTTGTGTAAACATGATAAACGTTTTCTTGTGCAACTTTTGAGTAATAATGAAATCATTTTATTTTATACAACTTAACCAAAGCAGCATTAATTTATCCAACTGAGGTATGAGTTATCATACTGTACATGAAAAAGGCTGCTTCTAAATAAGACTGCTGACCATAAAAGTATCAATTCTCTGAGCATTCACTCAATATGCATTCCTGGAACACTCACAAAAAGAATAAGTGTGAGATAAATTATTTTATTGTTAATTCTTATTTACGAAATTCTAGTTATCTTTTAGATATAGTATAGTCATGACAATTAGCCATTGATCATTCAATCTGCCACATAGTGGTCCAGCTCTCTTTTATGCTTCGACTTTATAACATTTGTGGAAGGAGAAACCTGTTTTTCCCTTATTAAAGTCTCCATAACACCAAATACTTAAATGTGCAATAAATGATAGCCTGGCTTTAATGCAGTTCTGTATTTAAAACTTCATTTGGTAGCCATAGGAGAGAAGTTATTTCACAAGGGCAAAATAATTGGTTGGCAGAGGTGGGAAATTGCTTCTTTTACACCTAGTCAAACAACTTAGCATCCCTCCTCTGCTAACCTTCAGATAGCTAAATGCAAACATTTTAATGGATTGTAAAACAAGGCTGCATGAACCCATATCATTCAACTCTTGAATTATACAGAAAATTCCATGTATTCCACTACTTATGTGCAGATTATTTTTCAATAGAGGAGAATAGTTTTTGGCTCAGGGTTGAACAATGGAGTCCCCGGTGCTCTTGAATTTGGGTTACAGATATTTCATTACCCAACTATGTAACATCAGGAGGGCTAGTGAGTGTGGGGTTTGCTATGAGGTATGCAGCAGCTTACTCTGCCAGGGTTGGTGGGGGTGTGGTTTTCACTTTAGTAGTTCCTTGATTAGGGTATAAAAACAGAGAGCAAACACCACACTCATTAGCACGCCTGTCATTACATAGTTAGGTAATAAAATATCTGCAAGCAAACAATGAAGCTCAAGGTTACCACAGATTATTTGGAACTGACATATGGCAAGAGAACATTTTCTATCTTAAAAAAAAATAATAATAATTCTAATTTTCCGGATAGCTCAGCTTGGGTGATTTTATGCCGGCCTTCCTTCTTAAATCCACAGACTGCCAAATGAATTTGGGTTTCACATCCTAAATCCACCTATGAAAATCCAACAGAGCTGGAGGGCCCCCAGGGTGGAGATTAGTATCTTAGGCGCTCTGCCTTTAAAGCATTGTCTGATGCTTTCCTATAAAAGCCACCACCTTCACTTTTTATAACAGGACCAGGGTAGAAGAACAGCGGTAGGAATAATAATACCACCACCTGAGAGGTTGTGAAGCAGTCTCCTATCCGCAAAATAACAATTGCAGGAGTAGCAAATCATAACGATGTTTGTGTATGCGTGTGTGTATGTGTGTGTGTATATATGTGTGTGTATTCTTCTTGTGCCATATCCGTTATCGAACGTTGGCAATCATGTTGTATATGTATATGTATACGTGTGTGTGTGTATACACACACACACACACACACACATATATATATATACACATACATACATACATATACATATATATTTACCTTGAGTATTTTTTGATGCACCCTGTCGGCCCAAATATGGGAGAAAGAAATCTTTCTTTTTCTTTCTTAAGAGAGTTAAGAAGCTCGAAATAGCTATTCCAGTTCTCCCTTTATTCTTTGTTAGCAATCTAAAAATGTATATATATATATACATATGTGTGTGTGTGAATACATACACACACACACACACACACACACACTGCCCTTAAGCCGAGCTCAACTCTTGCTGAATTAATTGCATTTTTCAGCTTCCCACAAAGGGACCCTTCAAACAGGTGCTTCCCTCGTGTGTGTCTCCCATTCCAAGCCCAATCCAGGCGCTGCTAAAATTATTAATACTAATATTAATAATCACTCGTAGGAGAGCAATTGTGGGATTGTGAAACAGAGCGAGGAAGACGAAGCCAGGGAGGATGCAAATGGGGATGATAATGCCAACAATCATTACCACAGAAGCAGCAATATTTGGCCTCCGCTCCCCCCCCCCTCCGGCGCTTCCACCCCCCCCCTTCACTCACTCTGCGTATCCGTGAGGGAAATCATGATGTCGGTAAAAGCCGCGCCAGCCGGACAAAGAACCGAAGAGAAAGAGCCGGAGCCGCCTCAGGAGCGCCAGGAGCCGTTCGCCACGTCCTCCGGAAACACGCAGCCCCCCTGACTACCCGGCTTCGGCTGCCGACCCGCCTCTCCACCTCCTCCTCCTCCTGCCGCCGAGGCGCCCGCTGCCGCCACGATCCAAAACGCCATCCCATTGGGGCGAGAGCGCCGAGCCAATCAGAGCCCGCCTTACTCGGCTTCCTTTCCCTCCCGGCCGCCGAGGGGGCGGGGCCTCGGCGGCGCTGAGGTGGCCGAGAGGTAAAGCGCGAGGCAACGAGCGCGAGCGGATTGGCTAGGGCAGGCCGGAAACGGGGAGAACGGAAGGGGCGGGGCCGAGATTGCCGGCGGGTCTTTCTTGAGCGGAGAGCAAGGGAAAGCTGGAGAGAGAGGTTCGTCATTATGGGAAAGGGAAGGGGAAGGTGCGGGCGTTAGGTCGAAGCCCAGGGCCGCTTCGGGAGGGAGGTTATGGGTGGAGTCTGTGAGAATGGGAGATGACTACAATCCTGCAATGCCCCCCCCCCAGGTGTTGTTTTCCCGCTTTTATAAATAGTCTTATAGCAGGGGTCCTCAACCTGGGCCACTTTAAGACATGTGGACTTCAACTCCCAGAATTCCTCAGCCAGCAAAGCTGGCTGAGGAATTCTGGGAGTTGAAGTCCACAAGTCTTAAAGTGGCCCAGGCTGAGGACCCCTGTTTAAGGCGCTTCTAAATTCTGCGAGGCGGAGGGAAGGAGAAGCTAATAAATATAGTCCTCAACTTACAACCATCATTGAGCCCCAAATTTATGTTGCTAAGTGAGAAATTTGTTCAGCGAGTTTTTGCCCCATTTGACGCCTTTTCTTGCCGCCGTTGTTAAATGAATCGTTGCATCCGTTAAGCTAGTAACATGGTTGTTGAGTGAATCTGGATTCCCCATTCACTTTGCTTGTCAGAAGATGGCAAAAGTTGATGGTGTGACTTTAGGGCACTGCAGTCGTCATAAATGTGAGTCAGTTTTCAAGCATCTGAATGTAAATTACGTGATCATGGGGATGCTGCAGCGGTCATCAGTGTGAAAAATAGTTATAAGTCACTTTTTTCAGTGCCGTTGTAACTTTGAATGGTCATTAAATGAACTGTTTTAAGTTGAGGACTGTCTGTAATCATCTAGGCCAGTGGTCGCTTTAAGACATGTGGACTTCCAACTCCCAGAATTTCCCAACCATTGAATTGAAATCCACACATCCTAAAGTGGCCGAGGTTGAGAAACACTGCCCTAGCTAGCCTAGGCCAGGAGTAGGCAACCTTGGCTCTTTTATGACTCGTAGACTTCAACTCCCAGAATTCCTCAGCCAGCATGGCTAAGCATGGAAACCTCTCCCTTTCCCCTTAGCTTGGCTGGCTTAGGAATTCTGGGAGTTGTAGTCCACGAGTCATAAAAAAGCCAAGGTTGCCTACCCCTGCCCTAGGCTAATCTAATATTTTTTTCCCCCAAGAGAAGGAGGTATGTATTTTTGGGGATTAATATCCTTTCTTTTGTCAAGAATTTCAAGTGAGTGAACATAGGGTTCCTTCTTCCCATTTCTCCCACAACAGCCCTGTGAGGTAGGTTGGAATGAAGTTGGAGGACTTGATTGGTGGCTTTCGTGCAATGAGGACTGTTACCCTATGTCAGTGATGGCGAACCTTTTAGAGACCGTGCCCAAACTGCAACCCAAAACCCATTTATGCATCGTCGGGTGCCGGGTGGGTGTGGCCCATTGGGTGGGCGTGGCTGCGGTGGTAACGGCAGACTGGGTTCAATCAATCAATTCCAATTTTGCAAGATTTTTTTTCCCTGCAAGAAGTTGAAATTGACTTATTGAACCTTTTTTTTTTTTTTTGCACACGGTGGCAGAGGCCTAAAACAAAAAGGTTTTATAAAACCCAGCTGAAGGCCTAGGACTGGGGCGACGGCGTGCCTGCCCACAGAGAGTGCTCTGAGTGCCACCTCTGGCACCCGTGCCATAGGTTCGCCACCACTGCCCTATGTTGCAAGGAAAAAGCAATAAAGGGGGAGGTGTTTATGCCACCCTGTGACCCAGTGTTATTTTACAAAAGAGAGAGAGAAAATATATCCTGCAAACGAGTTATTTTAGTCTAGTGATTTTTTAAAATTTATTTATATTTCATACTAACTTCCTATCTCCTTCAGAGAGGTGTTAACTGAGCAACATCCAGCCAAACACCTCTTGATTCGGAAACGCTATGTTCATACAACATGCTTAGCTTAACTTAAGCTAAGCATGGCTTACTGAACTTTCCCCAAATCCATCTTCTAACCTTGTTTACGCATAAGGTAGAAATAAAGCTGCTAGGTTTGGAACTGAATAAAGGTGTATGAACAGCCAGGGTTCCTGCTGGGGTGGAATAGAAGGGAGAGGGAAGTGGTTATTTGTTGTTGTTTTTTCCCTGCTGAAACTAAATATATTTGCTAGTTGCCAAAGTCACAAGTGCAGATTTGAATCAGAACTTAAGTCATGGAGAGCCATGACTAAGATTTGTAAAGCTTCGCTTATCTTCAGGAAAATATGATAAGCTGTTCTAGAGACTGGTTCACAAAATATTACATGAAATATCATGTAATCTTGCAAAAGTCTGTTCTTTGTCCCACACGAGATTGATATGATGACTCATTTTGACAGAACGGTGTGATTGTTCAAGGCAGATATATCTTACCTAGAAACTCCAGTCCTAAAGATTCTCTGAAAGCTTTGGTAGATACTGTGATGTGAGCTATGAGGGCAAGGCTGGTTTTTTTTGTTTTTACAGAAGAGGATATCTGGTAAACTTAGTTCAGTTTAAAAAGTCAGTTCAGTTTAAAAAGTCCATGAAAAAGTGCTTGCTTTCCATAATTGGAAGCAAACTCCTAGTTAGCACTGGTACTGCAAAAAAACAAAACAGATTGAGATTTCAAGTTAGTACATTTCTGGATGGAAGTTCCATTCTGATGTGGAAGCAGGTCCTCTACTTCGAAATACTAGGCAACAAGCAGAAATTCCATAGGTGTAGCTGTTGTGAGCTTTGTTGCTCTTATTTAAATGCCAAATTTATATCTGAGCTGATCCACTATAGAGCATGGACAGAGTGGGGAATTCACAGTACTTCATCCCCCCCCCCCATCAACCTAGAAAGCTAATGTTGGGGAAGGAGCTTCTGCATGTGAAATTATCTGGAACAAATGTGACATGATTGCATGGTTTAAGGAAGCCTTTATGTCAGTGGTTCTCAACCTTTTTAATGCCGCGACCCCCCCAACCGTTCGTAAGTCGAGGACTACTTAACTGGTGCAGCACCGTTTGCAGAATGGGACTTTTGGTGGGCTCAGCAGGGCAGAGACAGCCTGGACAATTCCTATTGGCTTTTGAAAGCCAATAGAATTAGACTCTATTCAAGAGAGTCTATTCTATTGGCTTTCAAAAGCCAATAGAATAAAAGGGAGTAGCACAGCTAAGGAAAAGGGGGAAAAAATGGTGGACTGCGTTGTTTGGCGACCCCCGTGAAATGGTAGTTCGACCCTAAATGGGGTCCCGACCCACAGGTTGAGAACCACTGCTTTATGTGGTGCTGAAAAAACAGTTGTATAAATTAGATGAACTTTGTTTTGGGAAGGGAATGCAAGAAACTTCAGAAGACAGGGATCTGATGAAATTCCTCTGATGAATACAATATTAGGGGCAAGCTTGTATGCAAGTCTGGAGATTTTTTTTAAAGATTTATTTCTTAAATAAAGGGTTTTGTTTTGCGACGTACAGATGGCTGCATCTTTGTTATTCCCTTCGTTATATTGGCTTGTCTTTGTTTTGATGCTTTCTATGAGTCACTCAGTCCTAGGAAGTAGGCAATGGCAAATCACTTCTGAAATCTCGCCAAGAAAACTTCAGTGACTTGTCCAGGCAGTTGCCAGGAGTCAGTGCTGACTCGAAGGTTCCCCCTCCCCTAAAAAAAGATCCATAGCAATATTTCTTAATCATGGCAACTTGAAGATGTGTGGAATTCAACTCCCCAAGTTGAGCCAAAAAAGATGAACTGAACAGACTGTATGCTGCTCTCTAGTGGCCACAATAGATTACATAAAACAGTGGTTCTCAACCTGTGGGTCGGGACCCCATTTGGGGTCGAACGACCATTTCACGGGGGTCGCCAAACAACGCAGTCCGCCATTTTTTTCCCCCTTTTCCTTAGCTGTGCTACTCCCTTTTATTCTATTGGCTTTTGAAAGCCAATAGAATAGACTCTCTTGAATAGAGTCTAATTCTATTGGCTTTCAAAAGCCAATAGGAATTGTCCAGGCTGTCTCTGCCCTGCTGAGCCCGCCAAAAGTCCCCTTCTGCAAACAGTGCTGCACCAGTTGAGTAGTCCTCGACCTACGACCGATTAAGTAGTCCTCGACTTACGACCGGTTGGAGGTCGCGGCATTAAAAAGGTTGAGAACCACTGACATAAAAGAAAGAAAACAGATCTAGGAATTAGCAGTGTTCCAATATCTCAGGGGCTGCCCCAAAGAAGAGGGAGTCAAGCTATTCTCCAAAGCGCCTGAAGGCAGGACAAGAAGTAAGGGATGGAAAGTAATCAAGGAGAGAAGCAACCTAGAACTTCCTGACAGTTAGAACAATTAACCAGTGGAACAACCTGCCTCCAGAAGCTGTGAATGCTCCAACACTGGAAGTTTTTAAGAAGAGACTGGACAGCCATTTGTTTGAAATGGTATAGGGTTTCCTGCCTGAGCATGGGGTTGGACTAGATGACCTCCAAGGTCCCTTCCAACTTTGTTATTATAATTATCTTTTACATCTGCTTTTGTCCCAACATTACTAAAAAAAAAATTGAAACCTGCATAGCTCATAGAAGAGTTTAATCTAATCAAACCATCAATCTTCCAATATTGACAATTTGCCAAATTTTTAAACTTCTCTGCTCGGCCTGATATTCAGGTGAGTGCATATTTCAGGAGAAACTGTAAGCTTGGTTGCTATTTTAGGATTCCTGAATTGGTCCTTACCTTATAAAAGGTACTGCATTTCTGTGCATTTTGAATGTTTTCTTACAGTCTTTGCATCATAGTCTTTGTTTTCAGTTTAAAATCTGTAGATTAAAAAAA